TTTATTTTATTTTATTTTATTTTATTTTATTTTATTTTATTATTTATTCCAACTTTAGTACCGTCTACTTTCACAGACTCCCAATTAATGGAAAAACGAATTAACTGCTGCTTAAGGTGCTGAATTTCTCTTAATGAGCTCACCTTTATCATCTTTTTTCTTGGAATTAAAGTAGCTTTGCATGAGTCATGTTTGGGCCTTGGATCAGCCCCTCAGTTTTAGCTTCCCTCCCATTTAGAATGTATACATTTTATTTCTGAACGTCGTCCCCTCTCGGAGGAGGGTGGAACAGCACAGTGGGTCTCCTGCATCCACAGCCAGAAAGAGCAACCCACTCTCTGTGACATCATATCCAAAAAAGAAAAAAAAACAGTCTGAAACGTACTGTCATGCTAGTGTGAGTTTCCTCTTCCATGAATGTGAGTTTCCAAATCAGCTAGTGAACACGAAGCCCTGCAGACGCCCACGCTTTTTGTGCCCAGATGGACGCGACTGCAGAACATTACAGTGCAAAATATACTTCACCTTGTATTTCAGTATAATAGGCAGGACAAGTCATAATAGCAGGCTTTTTATTTATTAAGATGCTACAGCAACTATTCATTGTCCACACACTGACCCCCTACCTCAGGTCTACATTTGCCTCCAAAGGCACTGGGATCACACACAGACTCACCCAGCAAATGGTATTATTATGGATTCCCAGATAAAATCAGAACAACCAAAAAAGAATCTTAAAAATCACGACACAGCTTTGCCACAAAAACTGTCGGTATGATAAAGACTTTAATCTTTAATCACTTCACAGGACAAAGGGGGCTTTGCACAACTGCATCAATCAATAAACATTTATTGTAACCAAAGCAAGCAGGCGTGTGTTGGCTACTCCTTCCACAGTGTTTTCACAGCAAACACTTTAATTTATCAGCGCACAGCCACAAGTGAATTCATCACATTAATGACTCCTGTCTTCTGCTTAAGGAAAGCCCCAGCACTGTGAATGCTGGCTCACTGGACCAGTTTACTGAAACACTTAATGAAGCTGGGGTCATTGTTAGTGCAGTGAAATCCATACCTGTGCTTTTCCTGCTTTGACAAGACAAATAATCTGTTGTGAAAAAGGCCTACAGGCAATGAGATGCAAATGTGACTCATAGTAACTCTTACAAAGGGGTAGCACGGTGGTTTGTGCTGCCGCCTGACTGCATCAGTGATCTGGGTGTGAACCTGCTGGTCTGTATTGAGATTTTTCCAGGTTCCCCAGATTTCTGCCAAAGTCCAAAGACATGTTAGTCAATTGGTTAATTGGCCTAAGGTGTTAGCAAGCATGAGTGTATCTCCAGATATTCACCAAGTATCATTATTCCCTAAATAGTGCACTAAAGGTATCTAACTGTGCTTCATAATAAGTAGTGTGCAACCAGTGGTCACCATCCAGTCACTGTAAACCATCATGCATCCTGCTGAAGGACAAATTACTGCATGCACGAGGAGCGACAGCAGCACATCACCACCACAAAGTTTTTGTGTTTATGAAAAGAGCTCTCACCAAAATGAGGTTTTAAAAATCTTTTTTCCCCTGGAAGTTTTGCTTCTAATGGACCCTCGTTATTGCAGTATTGATCTTCACAGTGAAGGGATGTTTCTCTGGCTGATAAA